AATAACACATGAATAACACACAATAACACTTGAATAACACGGGAAATATTCCCGACAGAGAAAAAACGGCGCAGTAACATGGAGGAATATTCTCTCCCGTAATATTCTTGTGTTATTGTGTGTTATTCATGTATTATTCATGTGTTATTGTGTTATTATAACACCAGAAATATTCCCAGGACACAATAACACATGAATAACATGAGGGGAATATTCCTCGTATTACTGCGCCGTTTTTTTTTTCTGTATCGCGCGGGGTATCGTGGCATGATTTCATTGGCTACGCACGTTACTCTACGTGTGTACTACTGATGTAATATTTTTTCCTAAAAAAATAGGCAAAAATGATGCCAACATTAATTATGAATAAAGGTCAAACATTATTCCACATATTTGATTTATAATTCTAATTGACATCAAAACTTGTTATAATTAGGTTCAAATGAGGTTTTGATTAATGGGTGAGATAGATTTTCCAGCGTAATTATTTTGCTTTTTATATCAGCTAACAATCAATCTCCCCTCTGTTTCCGCCGCGCAGCAATGAATCGCTTTATCAGGACCCTATCGTCGTCACTTTCCTTCCGGAGGACGGCGGCGCTGCCGCCGGAGACTGATGGATACCAGATGCAGTTGATTCGTGGGATTAGGGTTAAGGTAATAAATGACAATTTGGAGCAAGCGCTGACCTTTATGGAGAGGAAGATGAAGTCTAGCGGAATGGAGAGGCTTATCAAGCGCCATACTGACCATCACATTAAGAACTCGGAGAAGCGCGTGCTTGCCCGCAAGAATCTCGAGCTTCGGATCCGATCCGAGGAACTTTCACGCAAACTCCGCTCCATCCTAGTCAAGAAGATCAGGTTTGGATCGTAGTAATATTTACTATTCATTCTTGTTTTGATCTTCTGCTTCTTTTTACTTACCTATTTATTGAAAAATATTTGATACTGGCAAGAAAAAAAAGACTTCGAAATTTGCTCGCGCTATGGTTTCTGGGGGTGGGAGTTTGATTTAGGTAGCCTTTGAGAAGAGAATGGATTCATTATTAGTTGAGATTTTGTGGAGATTGTGAGGTTTTGTTGTCATTTTAAGAAATTTGGTCATAGAAGATGAGTATGTCAGCTCATGGCAAAGTTTGTATCACGAGTTTAGTTTTGGAAAAAAAAATGTCTACCGAGAGTAGTAATTGGAGACTGCGTTTGGAAAGAATAGCATCCACTGTTATGACGAGACACAGTTTTGCAGAATATGAAAATTTTGTCATGATCGTAATTAAGATCATATTGGTGTGGGTAGATTATGGTTGTTAGTGATCAATGGAAATATTTTGTTGTACTTTCTATTATATGTAGAAATGAACTGTTTTGAAAGCAATAGATTTTGTCAAGTTCATTATCATAATTATGTACCAATTAGTGGTAATATTGGTATATAAACCTTTATAAAAGGGTACATTTCATTTTAATGCTCAGTTTTAAGCCTAAGGTAGTAAGGTTTTTTGTTTAGTTGGGTTGTTTGAAGAGAACGAAGATGAAGAAGCTCTATTGCAGGCAGTCTCTGGTGGTTTTCGCCAGAAAAAAAGACTACTCAATAAGAGGTTAATTTGTCCAAGGTCATAATAAAAACTTTGGAGAATTATTCTTTTCTTGCAGAGGGCTAATATAGTGAGCAGTAGGCTATTCCTTTTTTTTTATTATTGGCACTTTGTCTGTTGGATTGTGTGGTTTGTTGAATTGTGGAATATAAAGGATTTATGTTCTTTAGGTGGTTTCAGAAAAGCATATATACCTTATGTTTCTTTCTGAATATGTTTGTCATTGATTGAAGGGCATTAAGTTATGATTTTTAAGGTTATTTCATTCAACATTGCCTTCTGCTTGTTGATAGGTTTTAGGTAGCTGTAGTCAAACATATATAAATTGTAGATCCCCCTGACGCATTCATGCCATCTCGTCCCACCCGAAGACGAAGGGCTTCGACTCCTCTGTTCCATCGTCTTTGCGGTTCGGTGGTTCGTCTCTTCTGCGCTTTCGATTTCGCACGTCGTCTCTCCTCTATCTGCGCAGTTGTCTGTAATTCCGCGCTCGTAGAAGAAGGGGGGTACGCTCCTCTGTTTTCGTCGTCTACTTCGTCTAGTTGCGCCTGTGCTCGCTGTTCTTTGTATGGCTGATCATGCTCTGCGGCTCCGTTTCCTGCTTCTGCAGTGTCGTCTTGCCGCGGTTCTTTTGCGCGGCTTTTCTCGAACTAAGGTTTCGACTCTGTCAAGCTCATCTGCGGTTCCTGTCTGCGGTTTATTGTCTTCTGCGCAGCGCCCCGCCCCAACCTTTTCGGCCCTCTGCCCGACTTGCAGTGCTTCTCTCTTTGTTGTGATGGAGCTTTCTTCTTCTTCTTCGGTTCAACCTGGAAAAACCTCATTTGCTCACGTTGTGGGTAATCCTCAGGGGAAAACGACGGTTGTGTTCCCCTTCCCCTCATGTTATAAGGAGAATCGTGATGGTACAAGTAACTGCCCCTTTGTTAAAAATGTAAGCAGGAAAATTGAAAGACAATACACTTTTTCTCTGAGTCATAAATTTTAACCTTGACTGACAAATTCAAGTTTTCTCTCATGGAAAATTTCAGTGGGGACACCCACCTATGGAGGTTATCAGGAAAAGTTTTGATGACCTCAAATTAGCAGGAAAGTAAAAAGTAGGGCTCATGGATGGGAAACATGTTTTGATTCGGTTAACCGTGCCTGAAGACTACACTCAGATTTTCTCCAAAAAATATCTTAACATTGTTGGTAAACCTATGAAACTACTCAAGTGGTCTCAGTATTTTGACCCAAATCATGAAACTCCCTCTATACCGGTATGGTTTAGTTTACTTAGTCTCAAGCTGCACTTTTTTCACCATCAGGTTCTCTACTCTATTGGGGCTATCATTGGGGATCCTTTGAAGTTAGATTTGCCTACTTTCAACCTAATCAGACCCTCGGTGGCCAGAATACTTGTGGAAAAGGATATTACTTTACCTGATGTTACTGAAGTCTAACTGGGCACAACCCATAATGATTATTGACAACAAATCGTAATGGAGCACAGACCCCTATATTGTACCCACTATAAGATGTTTGGTCATGTCATTGATAAATGCCACAAGTTTCTTCCAAATTTGAAATCTAAGGTTCAAGTGAATAAAAATGGGTCTTACCCCACTATTTTGGACATTCTTGTTCCACCTGGGGAAGATACTACCATATAGGAGGTGTTTGTTGCCCTTGAGGAACCCCCCATGACACTGTTGTTACTGTTACTGCTAGTGATGTGACGCTGGCACCTTCAAATCTCATAGAAAACAATACTGATGGACTATTACCTACAAATGATAGTGTTCAGATTGATAATCAGGAGAGCCTCGTAGCTCCACTTCTTCAGGAAGTATTCGGTGTAGAGTTATTGTGGGTACTACGGTTGGTAATCCTTCTGCTTCAACTCTACCACCCCACCAAACTGATTCTTTGGAAGAGGAATGACAGGTCTATTCCAGGAGGAAGAAGAAGAATGGAGGCCGACTCTAGCTCGGGAACATATTGGATGATACATTGGTTACTACTGGCAATGACAATCATCTTACCAGCTTATTAGCTTGCTCCTACCCTAGAACTAGAAGCAGAGGCAAGACCAAATTAGGTCGCTCTCTAGACACCTAATACTATGTATTTCGGCACTGTTAGACTTTTTATTTAAGTATCTAATGTATTTTTATGTTTTTTTTTTTTCTAGTTTTGAAATCATTTGTGGTTTTTGTGTGGGCAGGGTGCCATGCTAGGGCCCTTCCACACATTGTCTCTGTATATTTCTTTCTATTTAATATATTAGCCTTTTTGGGCTTTCAAAAAAAATATATATATAAATTGTAGATCTTTTATAGTATTAAATATGTTGCTCTTTCCTTGTGAAATTAGGCAAACTCATTACCCGCCTTCTTTTGTTAAGCCAATGGTGGTATTGCTTTCCATAATTAAGAAGATGTATGTATCTCTTCTAAAAAATGCGATATTGGCATCTCTGAAATGATAACATGCCCAGCAGCCTATATCATACACTTCTTCAGGTGCTATATTCCCTGCTCTTCATCTTTTGCACAACAGTAGCTTAGGCTCATGAGCAATTTGGTTTATGTTTGAGCTTGGTTCCTAAATTTAAAAACATGTTTTTGCTTAACTCTATAAACTTCTCATTTTTCAGAGTTGAACTCAATTTAATTTTGTTCGCAAAGCTAATGTTTGTCTTAGTTGAGCTAGCTTTGATGAGCTTATGTCGAATTGAACTTGAAGTAAACATGAACAAAACAATCAAATCTAAGAAAGTTATGAAAGTGGTTAGCATGGATTAATATATTTGTTACTAGCAATATTGAGTCAATTACAAGAATTTAGCATCATTTGAGTTTGCGAAATTTTTTATTGAAGAACATTAAAGAACTATAAAAATCATTTAATCATCAATTGGTACATTGAAAATATTCTCAATGGATGGCTTTGATTACACGTGTGTAATTATGATTTTCAATTTAATAGGATTTCAAATGATAAAAATAAATTCTCGGGTTGTTGATATTTATATGTCATTTAATGTTTTTAGTTGGTGATATATATTGTTTAAACTAGAGGTTAGGTTGACTTTTTGTGCAATGTGATTATCCTTCTTTCACAAATTTGATGAGTTTTTAAATTATTATGAAAATTCATGGAATCCTATTCATCTGCTAATTTTATGTCAAAGATCAAACTTGGTGGTCAGATTATGAGTTTGAAGACTATATAAGGTGACAAACCCAAGAAATTTAGGGAGGAAAATGACATGGGAAATTTGACTTTCTTATGCGTCATAATAGCCATGATTAGCAAAATATGACCGCTATTTAATCCATAAATAAATATGCCCAAAATTAAGTTTGGGCTAAATTATTCGCTATAGAAATAAAATTCAAAGCCATGAATCAAGAGTCATGTGAGCTTTCAATCAAAAGCTGCTCAACTATCCTTTTCCATGACCTTTTATGTCTTCGACAATCACAATGCATGTGTTATTGATCTATGGTTAAGCTTCATAGCAGTAGCGTCCACTTACCAATCAACTTTTTGATATCATATGCTTTGTTATTTATGTATGAATACTCGGTTTGCACTCGAAATATTGAACCCATAATGATGTTAGACATCATATAAGCTGCTACAAATATGAAAAATTTATTAGAACTATTTTCAAACTTTATTTGAACATTCAAATAAGGTTCAAAAATAATTCACACAAGGTTTGAATAAAGTTTGAATAATATCAAACAATGTGAATAATGCTCAAACAAAGTTTGAATAATTTTCAAACAGAGTTAAAAAATTTTCAAGCAATTTTCAAAGTGATTTGAGCAAAAGTTGAACAATGTGTGACAATGTTTGAGAAAAGCTCAATCAGCATTTGAGTATGGCTCAAATATGGTTCAAGCATGATTTTTAATCATTTTATATTTTTTTTAACGATAAACTCATTTGAGCTATTTTTTTATGTGTAGATTTTCACTCTTGTAATTTTTGTACAGAGACATACACTTCTTAGGTCATATATGAAGTTAGGAATGTGACGGAGAAAGTGGTTAAATAATTTGATATCAGTTTTTATCAGTTCTTTTAAACTTTTAAATTGTAGTTCTCTTAGGAACATCAATTTTTATTAATGTTGGTTGATGATGGTGAAAATGAGGGATATTCTATTATGTTCGACATTTAGTATAAGAAGAAAACATTTGGAATTGTGGAACTTGCTTTGTTTATTGGATTGGAGTTTGGTGAATTTTTATTTGAAGTGGAATTTATGAAGATGAGCGCAAGTATTAGGTTAAGAAATAACTTTTTTGATGGAGCTAATAACTTCAAGGATACAACCTATATGAAGCATTCATAGAGTACGTTAAGATAGATGATGTGTTGAAGTTTGGCTTATGTTACCTTATTGATGGTAGGTTTCTCAGCTACAATAAATAGTGCTATTTTTTAATAATATAATTGCTGTGGTTTGAAATGAGGAAGGATTCTTTGGCTACTATTGGGTATGCTATCATAGGAGAGGATACTAGGATGGTTAAAAAATGATATGGTGCCCTATGATAACATTATCTTGAAGAAAAATGCTCTAGGTTAGCATATTATAACTCAATATTTCACATCATTACAAGATTGTACTTCTGAATTTATCCTTGAGCTAGGGATAAATTGTGGTGTTTTTTTGGAGAGAGTGCACCGAAGAATTTATCCTTGAGCTTACGCCTAGTGCCCATTTACTGAAGATTCTAACACTTAAGCCTGGCATTTCGCAAAGCAAGCTTACGCCTTGTTAAGCTATTCAGGGCAATTAGCTTGGGCATGAGCTTGCCTTTAGTTCTCTTAGCAATCTATGTAATATGATTAATATACGTAATATGATTAATATGATTAATTAGATGAATGTGATTTATTAATGTCTAATTAGTATATTAAATTAGTCATAACTGATGAGCCTTACTAAATTTCTTAGCTGAACTAAACTAGGCTTCAAATAAGATTTTCCTTCTCACTGCAAATGTCTTTTGATATAAAATGAAGGACACCTCTTTTGCTCCCTTTAGATGACACCCCTATCATACTGCTGCTTGTTACATACCCTAATCAACCGTCCTATGAACAAAATTTAATATTGTGATGCAAGACAAACCCATTTAATACGCATTTACTTATTTTGATGAATGTTATTCCATAAATAATTTGCGTTAAGTTGTTCTAATTATTCCATTTATATAAAAATATTAATGAATTCATAATCTTTATTTTAATTCCTGATTAATTTAATGTATTAGTTTATTGATTATTTAGTTAATTTACAAGGAATCAACTGATTATAGTTGGCCTAACTAATTCAAAAGTATTGTTATTAAGCTCTAATCTTTGTAACTAATTATATTAATCATTATGTAACCCATATTTAGAATAATCATATTTATGTATATGTATTAATATGTTATTTTAATTTATATTTAAATTGCCTGATTAATATATTAAAATAACTTTTTTAATATTTTTGTTATTAATTGCTATATAGGAAAGTATTAGATTGATAAGTGAAACAAAGAAACAAATCAACTGTTTTAATATTTCGCTTTGCCATCTCCACATATCTTCAAGATAACAATATCTTCCCAATGTAAAATAATGTGAAACAAATCAACAAATCTTTTGATAACTATTACAAAATCGCCCCTTTTTCATCGACCTCATACTTGGCATAAATCAACTAAGGATTTTCTTATTTTATGTTCCTCTCCAGCCATCACTCATCCCTACAATCTATTCAACTCGAATCAATGGCAAATTTATTTGTCTTAAACATCGCCGCAATCTTTTTCAGAGTTTTCTAAGCCTGATATTACAAGTTTTTCCACTGAAACATGGGGCGGCCTTAGTTCTTATAATGGCAACAACGAAATGATTATTTACTATTAGTTGTTAGTTGCTCTAATCTGTTGATTTATGAAATGATTATTTACTATCAATCAAATTAATGCGTCAACAAACTTGAGCTTGTCATCATTTTCTTAACAAAATTTAGGCGTTAACTTATGTTTTTGGCCAATCTAATGACTTTAGTTTGCTTTAAACTTGGTTTATCTTGTTCGTGCGGCAACATGCCTTAATGTTCATTCAAGTCATCACAAGTAAATATTAATTTATTCTAAAATTGGTTTTAAACTTAAGTATATTTATAGCATCCTTATGAATAATTATGCTCATTTTATGTATAATCCTATTTACTTTATGTATAATCCTATTTACTTTTAAAGATTGATCTATTTAGTCATACTTTACTAGGGATATAAAAAAAACTCGTTTTTCGCGAACAACTCGTATTCAACTTGTTATGTGGGTCGTGTTCGAATCGCTCGTTAACTAAGCAAACAGAACACGAACAAATATTTTATGCTTGAATTATAAACGAGTCGAACACAAATAATCTTTTGTTCAATCGTGTTCAGCTCGTTTTTGCTTGAAATAAGGAAATTATATATATTATTTATAAAATAATATATTATATATATTTATATCTGACTTTAAATCATAACAGCTTAAATGGTCACGTGGTTCTGTGCCTTATATTGCATGCGAATTGTGTAGATTCGAATGCAACACCATATATTTATTTTTCTAATTAATTTAAACGAACCAATTTCAGGCCGAACACGAATAAGAATATGCAAATCGAGCCAAACATAAACACACTATTCAAGAGCTAATTTTGAACTTAGTTAATTTCGAACGAGTCGAACACGAGCCAAATTTGAGCTCGCTCAAGCTCGTCTTGTTTACAACCCTATACTCTACCATCATCCTTACCCTTCCTATTTTATCTTTAGTTTCTTGCAATCATATTTATTATATTTCCAATTATTTTATTTGCCAATTCTCCTATGTTCTCGTATAAGTTTTTAACATAAGATGGCATATTTTATTTTAATTTCATTAGTTATAAATCCTTACTTTACTTTTATCACAATGGCCGCGTGCCACTAGTTGAGGACATGCCCAACATTTACCTACTAGCATTCAAACATATTATGTTGTGCTGCATCACCTATGAGTATCACATAATTAATACTTTCATATTTCTCCACGATTATATTAGGTCGTGGAGTATTAATTTTGAATTTATTTCATTAATTTTGCTCGAGAAGGGAAATTTACATACATGACACAATTCTCATGTATTTACATATCTAACGCCCAAAGTTTGATATTTATATTTATAACATCTTGGCGTCATAAACCTATTCATAAAAGATTACATTTCACTTTTAAAAAGATAGTGATGGTGGTATTTCTTAGGTGATTTTAAAGATTCGAGTGGTATTTATGTAAATATGAATGCTTAGGTATTAGATGGGTAAATACATGAAAATATGTATGCACGCCACATTTGAGATCTTGTATGGGAGCAACCCTCTCATTACACTTGACTTGGTACCACTCCTTACATCAGAGATTAGTGAGGATGCTGAGGAGAGAGTGCAAGAGATTCAAAGGTCACACGAAGAGGCGTGAAAGGAGATCACCAAGCAGAACCGTAAGTATCAGACATAGGCAAATAAAATGAGGAAGAAGGTGACTTTCCAAGGGGGGGATCTAGCATGAATTATGTTGAAGGAAAGGTTTTCGGTAGGATCATTTGGGAAACTCAAGCTTAGGGTAGATTAATCTTTCAGGATCTCAAGTGATTGAATGGCAACGCTTAATATTGATCCAATTATTAAGCTTTCATCAAAATTATCATTTTCCCATCCAGATTTGGGTCTATTTTTATTATTTATTTATTTATTTGAGTTTTTGGTTGCTGAATAATGCCAATGTTGAATCTCATGCTATCTTATTTATCCTTTATTTTGTTTTATTTATTTATTTATTTTTTTTCATTCTATTAATTGTCTGATGCAGGGGCCTATGAGGATTGAAGCTCTAATGGGGAAAAGTAAAATTGGAAGATAAAGCCTCTATTGTGTTTCATTAGCCTGCATATTGATGCCAATGGACTGTAGCTGTTTATCTTTTAGCTTATTTACTCAGGGCATTTACATACGTAACACCCAATTCTTAGATATTTACATATCTAACACCTAAATTATCTAACACCTAAATCTTGATAACACCTAAATCTTGATTTTTTACATTTATGCCAACCAAATCTTTCATGTCACGTCAGAAGTATAGTTTTTGTAACTTTTAAAATGTGAAACACTTTTTCATGTATGGGCAGGGTGGCATATATGTAAAAAAATTGAAATTTAGGCCTTGGGATATGTAATTAAATAAGAATTTAGTGGTAAATATGTAAATATTCCTGCTTTCTCTTCTTCTTCTTATTCTTTTTTAACTTGTCAAAGGATTAACAAGGCTATTTTATTAACTCCGTCAAATTTTGTTCTGGAATTAGAGTTGTTGTGAAATTGGAAATTGATTCAAATATCAAAAAGATTTTTTTTGAAAAATAAGTCATTTTTTTTAAAAAAGATGGTGGTCTTTTTTTATGTGACATGAAAGATTTAGGTGATATAAATGCAAAAAATTGAAGGTTAGGCATTAGATATGTAAATACGTATGAATTGGGTGGTAAGTGAATGTATATAACGCTTCATTGAGAATCAAGACCCTTAATAACTAAGGGCGAGAAGGGGGGAAAATATTGTATACTTATTAAGTATATACTTACGATGGTGGATGGAGCGACAACGTTACACATAAGTGAAATTATGATGACTCGGCACTCCATCTACCCTTGTAAGTACATACTTAATAAATATGCATTATTTTCTTGAAGAAGGAAGGCCCGAGATACCATGTGCCAGCTATTGAAATTTATATTTTTGCCAAACTTCTGAAAATCTCAGAAGTTGCTCTTGAATTTTTTGTTAGATTCTCATTTTCCTGCCCTCTTTCTCTTATTATTTTACTGTTATGTGCACTTTGTCAATCTTGTTAGTAAAGTTTTGGTATCACCCAAGGACAAATTGTATCTAATATGCCAAAATATACAGTGAGTATAAATAATACTAAAAAAATATAAAACAAAAGTTGTAAATAGTGAAAATTAGCAACATAAAGAAGAGCCAATCAATATAGAACATCAAGATTTGAAATATGTGTTGCGTCAAGTGGAGTCTGCTCCATGTGGCTTTGAGAGGTAGAGAGAGATTGTTCTTTCTTGTAATTGTTGAGGTGATCGACGGGTGTTATTCCTCAAGCTAATAAAATTCTCTGCAATTCGGTGGATATGACAAGTTTGTCGTACAACATAAATTTGTGTGTTTCTGTTGTGTTCTCTGTCTTGTGATTTTTCTTGATCTGGGATTTCGTTTTATTGCCGTCGTTTTTCACAACAATATGTGGAGATTTGGCGGAAATAAAGGAAAGAATGATTGGGATGATACAAAGTGCACCTTTTTAAACTTGCTCGGAGAATACAAGAACATGAGGAATCATTAAATTCAATCATTTGAGGAAGACCATAAGTGTAAGGGTGCTAACTTTTGTCCTAGTGGTAGATAAAATTTACTATCAAGATGACAATGAGGAGTTGACTCCATCATGGTGTATGAGATAAATGAGATTCACTTGATAAATGCATTCTCTAGAGGGATATGAGAAGCTTATAAGAGAATGATTGATACCCTATATTGATGCTTATAAGAGAATGATTGATTTCATCGATCATTTGGCATATTCAGCTAATTCACTGTTGAATCTCAATGATACTCTAAAGTGATGCATATTTTTCAACACCTCGACAAATTATCTCTCTAGTGGTTCTCTCTACTCCCACTAGGAGTCATAACTTCATTTTGCTAAGTTCAAATGAGTGGTTAAATGCAGTTCATTATTGTCCACAAACCACTAAAGAATAGGGCTTTGAAAACAGCTCTTTGTCATAAAAAACTCGTGTTCTGCTTGTTCGCTAAGTTAATGAGCCGAACACGAACAACACGAACTAATATTTGTTCGTTCGTGTTCGGCTCGAAATATTACCAATCAATTTTATATATATATATATATATATATATGAGTAGTATTTTTAAAAATTTTAATTGACTACAAGGCTACAAATATTTATAATCAATTAAAAGTATTAATTAAGAAAATAAAATAAAAATTATTAAATTAGATTCAAATGATGTTTTAAATCTTGACCCAATGCTAAACATCTTGTGACTACGTGATCAGGGTTGCCAAAACGACTCTTTGTTCGTGAACGGCTCATATTCGGCTCGCAAACGAGCCGAACACGATCACACTTTTTGAGCTCAAAATCTAAACGATATCATATTCTTACCTTTCGAGATAGCATATTATTCTTAGTGTATCTTCAATGTTCTTTTGGTACATTTTTTAACCCGTAATCCAATCGTTAAACCAAGAGATTCTCATGGTTAACTAGATGTAGAGAGTGATTTTTTTGTATATTTAAGCGAAAACAAACAACAAATTGCAACGATCATTCATTGTTGTGATGCATGCCACGAAAATGTACACCTTTATGTCCACCTTTCATGCAATGTGAAAGGAAGTGTAAATCTAGCTCAATTCAACTATAGGATAGATTGATCTGAGCTTTTAGATTCAGCCTCTAAATTAAGCAGAACAAGCTAAAATAATTTAATTGCTGATATTTTTTTTAATCTTTGGGAAGATGTTGAAACCACAAATGTGTATTTTGTGCAGTTAAAACAGATGGTTGTGATCTGATTGGACAAAAGGTTTTACAACATTCAAGTATCATTAAAAACCAAGCATCCGATTAGAGTCTAGCACGTGCAAAGCGTGCGTGATGGAGTTACGATAGGATATTGTCGAAATTTGAAAGATAGGATATGTCGAAATTTGAAAAAAATTAGAAAAAGTTTTAAAATGTATAAATAAAATATTAAAAAAAAAATGAAAGATTAATTTTGTTAAGGGGGTTTTGAACTCATTTAGATAGGTAATTAACCCTCTAAATAAATGTTAATAACCCACAAAAAAAAAAAATTAAAGGACTTTATTTAGTTTTTTGGTGACCTTTAACAACACCTTAACACGTAATTAGGCTAATTTAATCAAACATAAAAATAGCCTATGCATTTAATTAAATAAATTAGTAAATAAATCTATAATTTTAAATTATTATAATGAATTAAATAGAATTGAGAAAACCACTTAATTAAACCCTTAGCTCTTCATAATAAGGAGCACCTTATTAAATTAAATTTGTACTTTTTTGGTATGAAAAAAAAAATTATAACTATAAAATAAAAATACAATAAAAACTAATAGTAAATATATAAATCTTCAAAAAATCATCAAGCACTTGCATAATTGTCGAGATAACGTTCCAAAGTCTTCCATAAGATTTATTCATTTATGAATTAATTTAATATTTAAATAATTTTTGAGCTCAAATCTATTAATTTTTTTAAGAAAAAATTAAATTAAATTAAAGTTAATTCAAATTGTTATGAAGTGTTTCACTGATATTCTTAAATACTAGAGAATATTGTATAAATTTGTAAAAGTTGTTTATATGATTAATTTGATTTTTCTTACTAAAATAGTTAATAAGTTATTAAATACTAATAATAAATTAAAATTCATCAAAAATCATAAAATGCTCTTAAGCTCTTCCTTGTCCTTAAAAAATGATCCTTTAGTTTTTTTATTTATATAAAACCCATAAATTAATTATGGAATTTATTTGATTTTATTTAATTTAAAAATTAATTAATTAAACTCTATAACTTTAAAAATTCATCATAAATTAACAAGTCATGATATTTTAATATTATAATAAAATTAAAAATGTCCAATAATCCATAAAAAACAAAATTAATTTTAAAACACCATAATTTCTATTTGAGTTTGGAGATGATTTCCTTAATCTTTCCACAATTTTCATGAATATTTCAATTTATTTGAATTTTAAATAAATTTTTATAAGTTAAAATAATAAATATTTTATTAAAAATCAAAATATAAATTTAATTAAAATTTTATGAAATATCTTTTTGTGGCCCTTGACCTAAATAATTTGCCTATAATTTTAAGAATAAATTTTAATGTTAATTTGAATAACTTTTTTTTGGAAAAATTAATTAAAAATAATATAATTAAAAAATTCACCAAATTGCATGGGATATCCTTTGAGCCATTTTGGATCTTAAAAAGAATATCATGAGATTTGTGGTTAATTAAATCTCTTAAATCAAACATCAAATTAACTTGAATTATTCTAATTTAATTAATCATTAGTTAAACCCTTTAAACTTATAAATTTAATAATAAATTAAATAAAAATTTAAAAAAAACCTAAATTTATCTAATGAATTTTAGTAACACGAAGGACTTGGAAGAATTAAAATCAATATATTTTGAGTAACAATATATTTTATATAATTTTAAATTAAAACAAATCAAATAATTCACTGAAAATTAAAAGGATTTATAAACCATTAAAAATTTTTAGAGGAACATTTGGATACCATCTTTAAACTTCCTTGGAAAATTAATGAGAATTTAAAACTATTTGAATTTTAAATAATTTTTAAAAGTAAGAAATAAATGATAAATTTTCTAAAATCTAAATTAATTCATAAATTAACTTAAAATATTATTATATGTTTCACCATTGACCTCTGATTTTAGAAAATATTCATTAATTATTATTAATTTGACAAATTAATCAAAATTTTATGAAATATTATTAACCCTTTCATTGGTTCTTCCTCAAACATAGAAAAAAATCACTATTATTGCATGCCATTCTAGAGCTTGGATCAAGTCAACATTAGGTAATGGAAACATAATCATATATTGTGATCCTTGAACCTAAGAAAAATGTCTCTTTAATCCATTGGTACCAATATATAATCCATTCATAATCTCTTTGCAATACACATCTTTGTAAACTTTCCTCCCCAAGAGAGAAGATCATATATTTGTATGGGGTGTTTAAGCTTGAGCTTTTGAGTTAATAGATATACATTGACTCAATTTTGACTCATTAGAATTCACATACTTGAAAATAACCCAATATTAATACTAAAACAATAATTAAATTCTAAAATCTTGGAGCCTAAACAACTCCCTTCACTTTAAACAACAGTATGAAAATATAATGAAAAGGCAAACAATTGAAGGAGTTTCCTCATCAAAAGAACACTTTATTAGCTTCTCCATTTCTCAAAAAACATTTGCCTGCCTGATTGGTGTTTACATTATATAAGCACTAAGAATAAACTGACAGAAGTGGGAGGAAAAACTACATTATGATTATAGGAAAGAAGGAAATGCAACATTAGTTTTCCTGAGAGGTTATAAAGAGGATCTGTAGATATTATCTGGAATCGACGATGGCTGCCTCGTGGAGGGGGACAACTTGAATGAGTGGAAGCTTGGATTTTATTGCGGCGAACAGAGTTCCAACGGCCTTCTTATCCTTCAAACCTCTAAGCACTCTCCTTACCTCGTTCGCTAGTTCGATCACATAATCATCTTTGTGTCCTGTATCCATTTCCATCATTTATTTAGGCTTCTATAAGAGAATATTGAAGTTGATTAAGATGAAAATACATGATTTACTTATTTTACTGCATTCATTCATGTTTAGTTGTGCTATATAAGGAGTGAAGTTCAGTTTAAGCAAAATTTTTAATAATGTTATATTTTAACTTAAAATTTTCATGGATTTAACCTCTGCAAATGTTAGAGGAAAGCCTCCTGAAGTTTTGACATTCAGTGAAATACTAGCTAAGTTCCTATGAGGACAGCAGGTACAATTATTACAAGCAGTGTCATATAAAGCATTAGGAATTGCAATATCTAAGTCAGAAGAATTTTAAACTACTCAACAATCTAAACTTAATGAATTAAGAAACTTAAAAGGATAAGATGGATGATATAACACTGTAAGGAATGAATGAATTTATTTGTAAAAAAATTAAAAATTATTGTAAGGCCAGTTTCAATGAAATTTCACCTTTGAATTTTACTATTGTTCGAACAAACACAAAATCAAAGAGCTGAGAAACAATTAAATTTTGAAAAAGCATAAAAAAGAGAGGCATGCAAAACATAATTTAGAAGACTAAGAACTATGATGAAGTTCTCACCTATGTGAAGCATAGCCTTCTCTAAAGAAAACAGGTACTCCCTGTTGTTCCCACAAGGACCATTTGCAGTAGCAATTGTTCTGAAAATGACGGGAGAAAAAAAAAACAGTAAGCTCAAAAGGAAAAAAAATCAATGGGCAATTACATACATAGCACAAAATTCCTATGTATTTACATGACTCGCACCCAAACTTTCACATTTACACTCACAACACTCAAATCTTTAATTTCAGGTCAAAAATAGCACTATTACAAACATTAAGTGAAATACACCTTGTCATGCATATGTTTGAAAACCAATGTGCTGTGTGTAAATATGAAATTTTAGCTGTGATTAATGTCATAAGAATTATGTGCTAGGTATGTAAATTTAAAATCGTAGGTAAAGACTAGATGACAAGTAAGACATATGGCTTCACCTTGCCATCTCCTCGAAAGAAGCTGGGCCGAGGTAATATCTATTGACTATTTTATCCGGAGTGGAAATAAATCTGTACAGACAGCAACTACATATCAGTACAAAATCAGAAAATTGGAAATTGTTAATAATATGCTCAAATTCCTACTTTAAAATTTTCAAAATAAAAATATTAAATTTACAAGGGAAAGTTGGGCTTCATACAATGTTACACCGGTCACAGCTGGCTGAAAATCATCTCCTTCCTGAATACGACGATAAAAAGGAGCCGTCAGAAGAGAACAGGAGATAAGCTATCAAATAAAGCTCTATACGTCTTCTTTGCATTAAGTAATAAGTGAAGTTTAACGAACCTTATAGAAGTCGACCAATGCTTTCTTGTCATACTCACACTCCCTTCTCTCTAGATACTGGAATATACATAATGTAAGAGACTTTTATTAGAGCCATGCCAATATAAAATTCATTCAAAGATAAATCATGCAAATAATCGCCATAAAATGTATCGCATGTCCTACCCGCATTGCTTCTCTTTCTTTCTCAATGCCTCCTTTGACACAATATGCAACACCCCACTGTCAGAAAGGGATCAACTTGTTACACGAGAGTTATGAAACCAAATACTTCTTTTTATTTCTTTCATACATCAAGATTGAATAATGAAACTCAATAGGACACAATGGAGAAAAAGGAATTATGTAGCCGACCTCACTTAGTGTGATAAAAGGCTTGTCGTTGTTGTTGTTGTTGTATACATCAAAAATGAATTTTATTTACATTAATGTTATGAGTAGATGAACTTCCATGTAACTGAAGATTTTCAAAACCAAAACTCGAGAAGTATCAAGCTTCTTATTTCATTTCAGATGTGCATGGTATGAGAGAAGATAAATTTGAAATTAGATTTCGTTTAATACAAAATAAAGTGAACATGAAATAAAAAAAGATCAACAATTACTTATAGACATGTCAAGTCACATAAAAGGAGATCAAGTTGGCTGTTCAAGAAGGGCATAGGAGCATTAAACCTTCATTTAACACATGAGAGCATTCATTTTAATTGTGGGTAGCGGAGGGATTACGAATTGAATAAGTTTCATTCCATCGGAAAGTAGATCTATACAAGGAGCTAATTCATTTTAAAAAATTCCGTTGCTCAATCTTCCGAGTACGAAAGAAATTATCCAATAAATGGCAACTCCAGACACTAAAATGCATTTAGCTTACAAAAGAAGGGGGATGCTACTACCAACCAGACTTGTTAGAGGATTTTTAGTTGCTAAATTAACAGAAAGTTCAATGTATAGTATAATTGAAACTAAATAAACTATATTGATACCTACAGCTAGCCAGCAAGACAATAAAGGCATTATACACAGCATTTCGTGCACATAAAATAAATACATTCAGAAAAAAATCACAATTTTGCTTCCAAAGAACATCAACTTTTGGTGGGTGGGATTTACAGCAAAATTCTTGAAATTTGTCATAGAAGAAAAAGATTAGGATCTTACGCAAATTGTGCCTTTCTTAGACTCCAACGTGCAAGTTCTTGCTGGATGTTCTGGGGTACCTCTATGGTCTATGCAAGCTGGCCATCAATGGAGCTTCAATTAGTTTGTTATAAACACTGCATAGTGAGAGTGAAAATGAGATCTTAAAAGAACTAACTTACCAAGATCAAACACACGTCTGTAGTCCTTGATGAACCCTATAACTTTATCATCGAAATTGAAACCAGGATTCCAAACCAGCGATCCATACCCAAAAACCCACAAAACCATAGTTTATGTCCTTTCTGTGTAGAATAATATTAAGAGATGATAAGCAATCTTTCAAATAATTGTTACAAAGAAAGAAAAAAAAAAAAGCATAAATCCACAAATTCCCCCTAAAAACAAAATCAAGTTCCTCAGTTTGGAAATTAAATAAGAAATTAAACAAAAAAAAAAAAAACAAAGAATCCACCCTCTATAAGGTGAAAATTCCAAACAGAGATGATGTTGATTACTTAAGCGGAAGAGCAATCGACGCTGCTTTTTTACCTAGCTCAAGTCCAACGTCAAGATAAACTCTTTGGCGCTAGGGAATGTTCTTCTTCTTCCCAGCAACCAATCGGAGCCCTAAAAGCCCTCAAATCAGCACATAAGAGGAAGATGGAGGGCTCCGACGACACGGCGACGTCGGAGGTTTAGGGAGAAGAGGATCAAAGGTGAGAAGAATGTGAGAAATGCGATTGAAATTGTTTTCTGGACGAAGAAAGAGGGGAGCTTGGGTTTTTATAATCGGGTTGCTGAAGCAGGGTCCCGGATCGGCCGGCGATGTATCCGAGACATTGCCGAAATTACCCTTTTAGCCCTCCATATTCCAATTTTTATTCAAGATCAAATCAAAATAAATAAGCTAAGTTCGGAGTTAAAATTTGAATCAAATTTTCACGGGTATTTCTTTTGAGCCGATCACAGCTCGGCTCGGGATCGGATAATTAACATAGGTTTGAGAATATTACGAACGTTGCACATAATTCTAATGTATTTATACATTTCAAATCTAAATTTGAATTTACTTCAGCTCGATTTGATATAGGATCGTTAATGCCCTTATTAATGTTAGCGCAATGAATTTAGTAAATTTAGCTCAAAGATCGTTGATCGCTCAAAAATTGATTTTGATTTAAATTTTCGCTCGAATCAAGATCAGATTGAAATAAATGATCACAACAATGTGACTAACTTTTGTTCTCAACTAATGTTTTTACACAACATATTATGATTTATGTGACTAGTTATTACTATAGTTTCTCACTATGACCTACGTAACTAACTTTTGTTATTTTAGTCTTTCACTCAATCTCTATGACCAACTAATGATTTTGCAACGGCTCACTATGGTCTATGTGGTTAGTTATTGTTGTAGCTTACCACCACTACATAATAGTTTGTTGTTGCCATTGCAGTCTTTTACTGCTTACTTTGTGGTTAATTCACGCTCTTACATCAACCCACTACGACTTATGTGACTAATTATTATTGTAGCTTCACACTATCACATATATGGTAGTTATTGTTGTAGCTTACCACCACTACATAATAGCTTGTTGTTGTCATTGCAGTCTTTTACTGCCTACTTTGTGGTTAATTCACGCTCTTACAGCAACCCACTACGACTTATATGACTAATTATTATTGTAGCTTCACACTATGACATATATGATCAACTACTATTATTGTAGCTTCCTACTACGACTTATGAGACAAACTGTTGTCATCGCAGCCTCTCACTATAGTCTCTGCAACCGATTGTTATCATTGCATTTTTCGATTATGGTCTATGTGATCAATTTGTCATTGTTGTCCTCTACTACTACCTATATGATGAAATGTTGTCATTATAGCATTCCACTATAGTTTGTGGTCAATTGATGCTTTTGCAGCTACCATCTACGACGACTTTTTTGGCCAACTAACACTACTATAAGTACCAAATGATCTAAGTGATCAACTACGACTTATGTAGTTAATTGTCATTGCAACTTTCAATCACAACTTATGTGACGAACTACGACTTATATAGCTAACTGCTTTTGAAAATTTTAACTACAATATATCTAACTAACTGTTACTGTAACTTCCAACTATAATTTATGTGACTAACTACAACATATTTGAGAATCTGTCACTACAATTTTCAACCATGACCTATGTGGCTAAGTGACACTTTATAGTCATCGACTCCAATCTTTATGTTAAGTTACTATGTTTATAGCAATCAATTATGCATTTGCAGCACACTATTGCTATTATTATATTTATTGTTGCCCAATAACGACTATTAAACATTTATGATTATCAACATTATAATTATATTTTCTATCATTCAAGAGGAAAATAAATTTATGTAGTTAAAATCTCATAGCCTATAGGTACTTATTTTGAGAGGTGCATAGGGCAGAAATGTCATATTTTGAATTTTTTTTTAATTGCTGACAAGAAAATAAAAATTTCATCCAAAGCACGGATTTACAGAAGCACTACATGTGTGGTTAAAAGTATATAGTTGTTTAATAGGCCGCGTGTGAAACACGTGTCTAAATTCAATGAATGTGAAAGGTAACCAACCGTGTTAGGTTTTATGTCGCGCCTGCGCTTGGCCAGACTTCATGCGGGCGGAAAACCATCCCGATTCAATGAATGTTGGACTCTAAGTCGTATGACCAAACTACCCTTGAGACCACATCCCATTTGAAAAAACTATACCTACCCACACGCCCCATAATTTCTATATATTTACATATTTAATATTTAATTCTTAATTTTTACATCACCAACACTTAGTGGTGTAAACAAATCCGATAGAGCTCGGGCCCCATTAGCTTGAGCATGAGCTTGATTAGCTTTATCGAGCTCGAGCTTAAGTCTACGAGTTCGAGCCGGCTCACGGGAAAGAAATGATATTAATTTAAAATAATTTCATAATAAGTTGATAAATAGAATAAATAATTAAGAGAAATAAAAGAAATCACTTGATATACAATAAAAAAAAATATTATTTTTTTAATAAATTTAATAACTTAAAGATAAAGTTTTGAAATTTAAGATATTAAAATATATTCTATGTTAATAATTATTTAAACGAGTCAGCTCACGAGCTAAAGAGTCGAGTCAGGACTAGCTTGAGCTTGGCTTGTTAGCTCTTTGAGCTCAGTCACTAGCCACGTATCGAGCCGAACACAAGCCGATTCACGCTGAGTGTTATAATTCAATGCTTTTCAATAAATCACCAAATTATATACATACATATATATATATATATATATATTATATAATAATTATATTTTTGATATGATATGAAAAGTTTGGATAGTATAAATGTAAGAAAAAGAAAATTTGGGTGTTCTGACAGTTAAATACATAACAATTTGATAGTGGTATGCATGTAAATGCCCCATTTAGGAAAAAAAAACCTATTTCAATTATTTCATGAGCATATATCCTAATAATTCATGGCACAACACAAACTTATATTGTATTATCAAATATGAATTCATTCAAGAGTGAAAACAAAGTAAAAAAAACCAACATTTGAGCTAAGAAAAAGAAATCATATTTCCAAATAAAATGTCAACTAAATCAAATAAATTTATCACCCAAATCAAATTCAAACGAATATATTTTGAGACAGCTTTCTGTATGTTTTGCAATGCAAATCACCAAAACTGTTTTCTTGTTGCGTTCTAAAAATTTATGATGTGCGAAAGCTATTTCTTTTTTAACTCAGAATGATAAAATATGATGACTGTAAGAAAGTTAGTGTCTAATAATTTTTTAAAAAATACATATTTATGATTCTCGATCATTACTTTCTAGAAAATAACTGTTATTTTCAAAACTACCAACTCTATAATCATTTTATATAATGCAACAGTCTAATAATCATTTTATATAATTATAATGCAACAGTCTAATCATTTTATATAATGCAACAGTCGCCCCAAACAGACCCTAAGATACACTAACATATCTTTTAAGACAGACATGCAGGCACAAAATTCGCTTGGTTAAGCATTACTCTTTGAAAAGTAGCAAAAACAAAATTCTGTGTTTTCAGCATACTTTGCTCATTGAGCCAAAACAAATTTCAAACCCAAGTTCCACTGAACAAGGGTTTTGATGAAGCAGAATCACCAAACAACTTTATCAAGTCAGAACAGGACTCATCAGCTTCTTCCTCCTCACCCTCATTCTGTGTTTTCAGATCCAAACCCAACTCTTCATCAATATCATCAGAAGCTGAAATCAGCAGAAACTCACACCCCTCATAGTTCAGGAAATCAGGAGGGTCAGCTGCGGCGAACTGCCGCTTACCAAGGCATCCCTGGAGGCTCGCCGGAAAGGCTGCACGCCGCTTCGTTTGAAGTCCATCGAAACCACTGCCGTGGCCGGAGTGTTCCGGATTCCTTATCTGGATGATGAAGGAGCCTTCGCGTTCTATGTTGAATTCCTCCTGTGGTTCATTAGGGGTGTCTTCAGCCGGGAACTCGAGCTTGTATATGAGATGAGTGTGAGTTTGCCGGCCGAATTGATGCCTTAGAATGCGGTAGACTCCTTCCGCAAGAGCTCTCGCCGGTGCCTGCCGACGGTGGCCGATAGTTGCTGTATCATATTCTTCTGTAGTTTTATAATGAAGGCATTTCATCAAGTCTAGTTACAATTCTCATGTGCATGCATATCTAACACTTCAAAATTTTATTTTTTGACATTTATAACACTGAAATCTATTATATCACATCAAAAAATAACAATTTTAAGTATTAAAAGTGAAATATACATTTTCATGCATAGGTAAGATGTCATGTATGTAAAAATTAATGTATAGATGCTAGATATGTAAATACATGGCAATTGAGTGGTATGTATGCAGATCTTCCAAACTTATATAATAGCTCAACACCACATGTAGGCAAAGGTAATTAGAGAGATGGCAACAGAAAAGGAAAGCAGAATAAAAGGCAAGGTTAATAAAACAATGATGCTATAAAGCTGCATACCTTTGGCACAGCATTGATGTTATCAATAGAACGGTATCCTCAGGGTTAAGGCCAAAAGATCAGTAGATTCTTCACACTGAATCTGAGAACCAATATTTCTTTGGTTTTAGATTGTCATATGTTAACCAACTCCAAAATAGCCTAGACTCTTTCTAACCCTTTTCTATTTTGGTCCCACTTTATGGGCTAATCCCAAATCTCACCAGGTCATGTCTCATGCCACCACCATTCAACCTTAGTTCAAAGATTTGATCCATGTCATCCCTAATGTAGATGTTGAGGTTACACCATTGCTTCCCTACTTCAATCCACATTATACTCATGAAAAATTTCATGAGTGCTAATATTAAATGGTTACTTTATCCTTAATTGATCTACAAGTATTCTTCAATTCACATAAATACATAATGCTACATCTCTGATATCATATTTATCAGCTCAAATACTTTAACTTGTATTTCGATTTTGCGTGATGCAACCAAATGACAAGACTCTTGCTTGCTCAATGTAGACTATGGGTGACTCCAACTTTATGGTGTCACATTAATCATATATATACCTCGACTTTCTCTTCATCACGCTTATTTGCTACCTCAACTACCCCTAAATCATATTTCTATTAGAAATATTTGCAATTAATTAAGTGTTCTTTTTTGTCATGCGTAGGAATCTCGAATTTGACAAATGCGAAGTGTATAAAATTGGTCATCATGTTGCACTCACTAGCCTTGAAGTACACCATCAAAGATATCTACAACCTTTATCAAATAGATCTCACTCAATCATTTTATTCTAATCTTAGTCAGGTCTAGCTTGATTATCTTAAGAATTTTATTTATAGCTATAATTTTAGATCTGTTTAAACTACTGTAACTTTTTTTTAATATTAAAATAAACATCATTTCACCATAGTGATACAAGTATTATAACAACCTTTTTCATAATGTTCCCTTCCGTTTCACCTATACCCTGCCTTATGACAAAAAAAATAATAATAATAATAAAAAAGATATCATGCTCCCCTCTTATTCGCAACCATTTTGATCTTCTTCACAGCAATCGTAATCATATGAGCATTGCTCCCAATCTCCCTCAAACATCATACATGAGTTTCAGCAGGGTGGCTAACAAAGCTATCTGAAGATTAAACATGATCAATGATGTATGAAAGTTTAGATATAGTTAGATCACTCTCCATATGTTTAAGAATCATTTAATCAAGTTATACGGCTACATTTTTTTTGAAAATGATGACTACTATTGAAGTACAAATATATGTTGTTTTCGATATATAATTAAAAAAGAGTTGAATGACACTAGAAAAAAAAAATCTCATATTTGCATTAGTTCCTCCTATTAACCTATGTCAAACACATATATCAATGCTACTACTTCAAACTTGTAAATATAAATACTTGAATATTTAACATTTTGCTACAATATCATTGACAATCCTGCAAAAGCAAGAATTGAATGGAAAGTTGATTCATGAATATTGAAGACACAAGGGCTTCATTAATCTTCTTAGATAGCAACCCAAACCTATTATCATTTCCTCTAATTTCATTTTTTTTCCCTTTGAGGTAGACAAGAGATCAAAACTATTTCAACCAGCCTCTATACTTTTTCAAAAAGTTTATAACATATGTCAGGATTCAGTTCCAAATTTAAAAAAAAAAACAAAAAGAAAAAGAAAGAACATATAATTATTATCAATGAACATGAAGCAACTAAGAAAGTGCAGCATAAAAAATTACCCCCTTTAAGAGCAGTCTTAATGTCTTCTGTTTTTGTAGTGACCATCTCTACAAAACCCCAATAAGGCTTACTCCTCTTACTTGGATCTGGAAGGCTTTTCCTTCCCATTACAATAAACCTCAACAGCAGTTGCTTCTCAATGTTCACCTCCTACACATTACCACATTTCAAACAATGTACATGACTAACAAATACTTTTATAAAATCTAAGCTTTTATTAAAAATAAAATTCTGATTTTAAATTGCTCATAAGCATCTTTATCATTACAATAACTAATGATACAAACCTGGGCCCCATGGCCACCTTCAGGTTTATCTTTTTCAGCATCCTCATCATCATTTTCTTTCTCCTCTTCTGTCCTTTTCTTGCCTTCCTTTCCCGAATCCGGAGATTGTTTCTCCTCAAATGTCCTCTCGCCGGACTCCGGCCGAAGGATTATGTACATCTTTTGCACATCATCGACGCCATGAGCTTCCTCCTTTGCAATTTTAGGTCGATAGAAGAAAAATATATCCCCTCTCTCCTACATCCAAATAATGAAAAAGTTGAAGCATAATGCAATTAGTTACTCACATGAAGAACTTGACAAAATTGGACAAGCCTCCAGTCCATAACAAAGAATAATTATGATTTATCGAATGAAAAATTAAAAATAGAACCTTTTCCCACATCATATACACATAGATTAAAGTATGGTTGTATTTAAAAACACTCAAAATGTTTTCAAAAACAAGTTAAATTGTTTTTAGTAACAAAAAAACAAAAAAACAAATTAAAAACACACTAAACAGACATGTTTTTAAAACATAGGAAAAACAATAAAAAAGACAAAAAAAACAAAATTTATCCCAAACAAGCCCTTTATTTTAATGAATCAATGCCTAGTTAGTAATTCAATCTGACAATCATCAAATTAAAGAATTAAGCTCGTTGCTTTATTTTGACCTTTGCATTTATATTATTTTAACATAATCTCAGTACAAACTAAACTAATCAAAGAACAAAATGTTGATTGAAAAACTGAATTTATAAGTTCATTCCTAATTATTGTCTATATTCGATGCAAAATAATTAAAAAAAACAGCCAACATAACAGTTTTGCTTGAAAGAGAAAGAAATAACTTGAACTTTTTCTTAACCACTTCATTTCAAAGAAAGAAAAAACACAAATTTGATTGAATAAGCATAGCAATCCAATATACAAATTCACATACACAGTCCATAAATCTTATGTAAATGCATATCTCACAATATTACATAAAACTAATACTATTACCACCTATAAAAAAAGAAAAAATATATCTTATGTAATCTTTTACTGATAACTGAAAGAAACAGAACTGAAGGGATTGAGAGAAAAAAGAAAAACAAAAAACCTGGATTTCTACTTTGGGATCAGCTCTTGTTTTCACCTCCTCTCCTTGCCCCATTGTAATCCTTCGAAGTCAATCTGAGCTATGGTTTTAAGTTCTCTGTATAGACTAAATACATAAGAAGGAAAAGGCCTCGGGAGTTTAATGGAGGGGCAGGTGTAAGCTTGCATGCCGTTAGGTTTTTGAAGTGGCGCATTAAAAGGCAGCCATGTGCCGACTGCAGATGAGCAATGCCATGCATCTGAAACTTATTATTTACAAAATCAACCAACCACCCTTCCATCTTTTTTTCAAGTTCTCACTCAAATATCAAAATTCATGGTTTCAAAAAATTATCTGAATTGTTTAGGAATTGAAAAAACTCATAATATTTATATTTTGATGTGAGTGGTATGCATAAGAATGTGAAAGTTTAGGAATTGAAAACAAATTAAAATTTTTGAAGTATTCGAGTGCTCAAAATTTATTTAATCTTTTACATCTAGAATAAACATATGGTTCCATTTCTTTTATTTCAAATATTTTAAGAAATTAAATAATTGTTTATAATAACATTCTTATATGTCTCATATGCATTATAAAATATAAATTATAGTTTAGCAACTCTTTCAAGTGTTTCATATATTTTCAAAAGACTTTGAAATATGTCATTTAGGTACATATATAAAGCATTTCACATATTCTTATATGTTTACATATTGTATACACCAGAAATGCTGGCACTAATCTCAAAGGGAACGAACGACCGAGTTAAAAGAGTTCCCCTTCGAGGTAAGCAAACAACCGAAGATTCAATGTCGAGCATGAGAAACAATGTATCTAAGCCCTTGATATGTCCAAGCTCGGAGATGTTTCCCCTCTCGGTACCGATGAGATCTCCGAGAGTGAGGCGTAGATCATCCAGACAATAAGTATCGTCGGATATCTCGCATACGCAGTGACAAGATCTACCTAAAACCTTCCGAGATAAGGAGTTTCGACCGAGACGACAAACCTATTAGGCATGCGAGACACGGGACATGTAAAACTTGAATTGAACGATAAGTGAGTCATGGCTCACCCGACAGCAGTTGGCCAACCAATCCGGGGCAAGCGAGATCTCCATACGATTGAGCGCCTGAACCAACCGACACACACTTCGGAAGGCACAGTTGTCACTCGACCGGTTGCCTCAATCTACCGAGCTCAAACAAGTCGGTCCATTGATTTGTAATATGTTAAAATTGAAATTGTAACACAAATATAATATAAAATACATATAATTAATTAGAGTCTGAATCACATTAAGAAAGATTTCTATAATTGTTTCCTCATTTCTGTAATTGTACAAAATACACTCTTATAAATCAGAGACAAAAATACGAATAAAGGAGACTCTCTCCCCAACTCTCTCGACAGTAAACTTTTGACCCACTCTACTCTCGTTTCTCTTCTTCAATTGGCTCTAACTCTCAAGGCATGCCCACAAAAGACAATTTGAGATTCAAGATTCTGAAAGATGGTACGGTGAGTGTAGACATGCTCCATACTAGAAACAGAGCTAACTACGAAGGTGAAACTTGCCAAAGAGAGATAGCACGCATGGAATCCAAAAGAGACGCTACACAACCAGATGTCCATGCACAAGTCCAGGACTTACAAGCCCAAATGACCCTATAATGGAGCAATTCGAGGTCCTTCAGGCAGCAAGCACCCAGAGGAATGACTAGACGCCTCGTCTGGAGGTCGAACCTCAAGGAGCTCGTCCTCAAAGGCCCCCCACTAGGGGACCCGCCTATCCCGCACAACTCGGTCAACAACCAGCGAATAGAAGGACAAGGCAAGTCCCAACACACTAACATAGCCACGTATGTGCAGGCAAACAGGTGATGGGAAGAGTAGAGGATAGTTCCTATTCAACCACTCGCAAGAGGGGCTTTTACCCACCAAATCAATGAAGCAGTGACATTGCCCAAGCTAAGGATCCATTGCTTAGATTCATACGAAAGAGGCACGACCCAATCGACCACGTAGCGTTGTTTGAGCCATCAATCAGTCTGTTCTAGATAGACTACCCTATAATATGTTGCCTCATCTTAACCACCTTGAAGGAATCAACTCTTTCATGGTTTAACGGTTTACCGACCAAAACCATCCCAAATTACTACGAATTTAAAAGACTCTTTATTTCACACCTCTCAAACGTGCATAAACCGCGGAAAGACTCAGACACCTTGCTTTACATGAAGTAGAGAGAAAGCAAGAGCCTACGAGCCTACATCATTCCCTTCCAGAATGAGATGTTGGAAGTTAGAAATCTTGAAGCCTGAAATAACCATAATAGCTTTGAAGTGATGAGTCTAAAGCAAACAGTTCAGTTATGACCTCAATCTTCTTGAACCTACTACTTTTGCAGAAGTATTAGAGATGACAAACGAGCACACACTCACCGAGGAGGACCTTCAAGGCTCCCTAAAGGGTAAGCCAGAATCGTTCGACCACCCGTCAAGGAAGAGGAAAAAACAAGGCAAGCCGCAAATTAAGCCCTCCCCGATCACCAAAACAACAGCTCTCGGTCCCGAGATCAGCGGAGAAAAAACTGAGAATAATGCTCTGATTAAAGGTCGGCTCAATATTATGAGTGACTGCATGTTTATAAGGAAATGTAACGTGTAACACTCGTCAACGTGTCGATGGCCGAAATAGTCTAGACCATCCCAAACAAGGACCACTTCAAACTGGATCAGCCACTGATGGCGACCCTAACCTTTCAGGATTCAACGAGGTAATGTTGGTACCATCGCGACCACGAAGAGGTACTGTTAGTACCATCGTGACCACGAAAGAATGTCGTCGCCTCTGAAACCTGATCGAAGAACTCATCCAGATCAGGAACCTCAAAGAGTTTGATGCAGTTAACACGCACACATAACGACTGGGTAAAGCGCAAGCAGGATATCCTCCAACATACCTGTCAGTTGGAACGTAGTCCACGTAGCAGAGATAATAGCTGCCATCTTCATGGGCGGATCCTGACCCTTTGACTTGAAGTGATAGTATTTTGGAGAGGTATGCTCCATCGTTTGTATACACCTAACCACAACCATTATCTTTAATAGATGCAGATATTCTACTGAAGGGAACCCCAATAATGAGGTGATCGTCATCACAATGCTGATCAACAACTACCAAGTGGGTAGTATTCTCATTGATATAGGAAGTTTGGGAGGATTGAAACATCAAATAATATCATCTTTAAAACATAAAATCAAACAATAGAATAGTTTGAGAGGTCATCGAGGTTCTCCTCGGATCTGTGATCCCCTACATTTCACTCATTTGACTCTTAAAAACAACTGCTCCTATTTGGACCTTTCCAACTTGACTTTCCATGTTCAATCTTGAAAAATATAAACTTTGAAATCTTGAAGACAGAACCTTTGATCATTATCGAGAGTTTTCTTAAGCGAATTCGGTTATTTAAGATGTAATTAACTATAAGAGTTTGCCCTTATAGAGAACTTGGAACCCGAGTAATATAAACTTTATCTAATTTTTATATTAGGTGAGGGAACTTGTCGGTCACACAAAAATGTTCTCAGACTAAACATATGTCATAAATTCTTTAATTTATTTAATATAGTCTATTGTCATGTAATATGTCTATTCCTCATGATAAGTACATTGTTTGTAGTGTTGTGTTCAATTACTTAAACCATTAAAATACATGAGTTCTTTTTGTCTCACATTTTTCAAATTAAAATATATTTGTAAAATTAAATATTTTTTTTCAAAAT